AGACTATAGCTGTTCACCCATAACTCTTATTGTATTTGTTAATTCGTTGGATGAAACATAGACTTAGCCATCGCCAGAACATTATGCAGAAACACAAGGAAGCAAACAGTGATGTGCTAGTGAGGATGGGCCTAAGGGCTCCCATGGAGGAAAGGTTTGCTGCTTGTTCAGCTGAAGGTACACAGTGCCAGCCTGCTGTGGCCTGCTGCTTTATGAAATGCCTCTTGCTGAAATCAATAAAATGTTAGAGTTGATTAAAACACCAATAAAGACACTCAGGGGTATTTCTCCCCAGACAGCTGCAAGACGCAATTTCATCCTGTCTTTTGGCCATGTCTCAGGGATTGCCTCTCCAGCACACAACCTAAGAAAGTATAATTGCTGTATGGTATGTGTGGTAGGATTTTGTTTTGTTTGATCAAAACAAAAGAAACAAAAAAAAAAAAAAACTGGACCTGGAATTGAAGGATGTATTTCCTGATTACACAGCTAATAATGAATGCCTAAATATTTGTAATATCAAAAGTCTGTAGTTTGCCAGGTTCACATTTCCAGACCTCAGTTGTTTTGTAGCTAACGGTGATTTTGATTCCATGGTAGAATTATAATATAAAACCTATGAAAACCACGGACAGAAAGGGCGAACAGATGGATGGATGGGCGGATGGACAAATGGTGGGAAAAAAATTACTGGATAGAACGGATTGGACAGACATGTTTGTGGACAAATGAACAAGTGGACGGATGGGCGGACAGAAAAACTGACAATGGAAGGATAAAAGGATGGATGAATAACTACTTTAGGCCCCAATAAAATAAGGAAAACTTGATTGTACAATACTATTGATGGATGTTTTTAATGATACTCACTGATTTATCCACATTTTCCTCACTCTGCCCTTTCTTTTCCATCGTCATGATACCCCCATTACTTTCTGTAAGAGTTATCGTCTTTCTCTCTTAGATCCAGACCGGGTGTGGACATCAAGGACAGTGAACATTCACCCTACTGTCCAAATATCTTACTTGCAAGCAGAAAATCCTTTCCTGTTAGACTTTTTAAGGTTCAGTCCATGTATCAGAGAGCTCATCAAGGCATTTTTCCAAAGTATTTACTGCAGCCTAGAACAGGAAACCAGACCAGAGACCAGCACTGAGCAACCGCATTGTCAATTTCTTCTTCCCTTGTCCCGAGGATGGGATTAAGCAATTTTGCAGGTAATTAAAACATTTCTGCTCAGCATGGCCTGCCTTTGCCACATAGATTGTTTCTTCCCACCACCAACAGAGACAATACCCAACGGAGGTGCAGGAAAATAGACACAATTTTTCAGATCACTGGAGGCTTGTGCAATAAACGTGCTTATCACCTAGATGTGGAAGAAAGGTGTGAGGAGCTGTAGGGTCACCTATCACATGAATCCCAACTTTTATTACAGGCCTTAAAGACCTAATGCCCCTGTCAAAAGGAAAGGTTTGGAAATCTAATTTTGTTTCTTACTGCCACCAGGTATTCCTGGGATGTGTTAGTGTAAAACATTAGAATCATCACCCCCTTTTCACTGGAAAAGACTGCAAATCTGTTCTCTGCAAACAACTGAAACAAGCACAACAAAGACACATGCTCTGTTTACAGCAAAAATATTAACAAATAAGGTTACCCAGTTTCCCTCATTGGAGATATCCTGATCTATAGTTTTGACTAAAAGACCGGCAGTATTGTTAGCAAACTCAGCTTTAATGAATAGAATGATGATATATCATTCTGTTGATGTGGTACATCTTTTACAAGCATATAACCCCTGTTAGCGTTTTCTAGCATTTTAGTTACAGTTAAGTAATTTAACAGTAAGACAGTCTCTTGCAAAGTATTCACTTTCCTTGACATTTAAAAAATATATTTTTTTCCTGCTTAAACCATAAACTTCAGTGTATTTTAGTAGGATTCTATGGGGTAGACCAAAACAAAGTTGTGCATTGAAAGAATAAAATATATGGTTTTTAAAATTCTAAATCTGTGACATTTAGTCATATTTAGCCCCCCTGAGTCAAAACTTGGTAGATTCACTTTTTGTTACAATTAAAGCTTTTGTAGCATGTCTTTACTGGTATTCCATATCTAGAAACAGATATTTCTGCCTATTCTCAGGTATTGCCACAGATTATCAGATCAGTTTAGGCCAGGACTTCTTGCACAGATATATTTATTGATTTAAACCATAGCTGTTTAGGGGCATTGCTGGAAGGTGGCCTTCATCGAAGTCTAACATTTTGTTTTCCAAAACTGTCCTGCATTTCGCTCCATCATCTTTATATGTGTCTCCTACATGGCTTGCAGGAGACACAACAAACTATAATTTCAATTTATGACATTATTTCTGCAATAGCTATTTTCATACCACTCTTCCATAATGGTCAGATTACCCCTTAACTCCGTTTTGCTTTAAAATTTTGCACATCTTTCTTTCTGATCTGTCTGCTGTTTTCCTTGAACGTCTTGATGCTGTTTGTTCACTAATGTTCTTTAGCAAACCTCTGAGGCCTTCACATAAAAGCTGGATTTAAACTGACAGCCACACTCTCTAAATTAGGTGGCTATAAAGGAAAATTGGTTGCACTGATTTCTACTCAGAAGTATCAGAGAAAGAGGGATGGAATATATTGTATATGCATGCCACACTTCTGATTCCTGTTAATGAAAAGGTTTGACAAACCATGTATAATTTTCTTCCACTTCTTAATTATGCATTACTTGTGTTGGTCTATCTATAAAACTTCAACCAAATGCACTTAGGTATGTATTTGTAATGGGATAATAAATGAGTGTAAAGGGTATGAATACTTTTTTAAAGCAGTTTTTAAAACGTATGCAAAATTCTGATAACGTGCTGTATTTGTATGACAAGCATCCAAGGGATGCTAAAAATGAATGTAGGGCTAAAAAAATGTATCAAATATTAATAATAGTGGAGATGAACATTTTCAGCTCAATAATGGAGCACGATAAACTTATGAATTCTAGACTTATTCAATATACCTGACAGGCACATGTATCTCATGCAAACACCTGAGTTAGTGAACTTAGTTACTTCTGTCATGACAGTATTCAGGAGAACGAATCCTAACATCATTTGTTGGAGTGAGAATCCTCTGTATGTCCATAAATTACAGGTAGGTGCTGCAGTTCAGAGCCAGGTTACAGATTATTTACTATTCTAAAGCCTGTCATTGTGAATAATGTGCCATTCTTAGTAAATTGGACATCAAAGCTGATGAGCATTGGCAGTTCATTTTATGATTTGTCTAAATCATCAATGAACAAAATTTATCTCAAGTTTATTTAATGCACCAGAAGATGATAAATGCGAGCATTAACCAGTGCTGCTTGTGCGTCTCTCTAGGAATGTAATGCCAGTGTAAGGCCACCCTAACTCTGCCAGCAAGGCAGGCTGCTAGGACTCTATACAACGGAGAAGCTTTCATTTATTTCAAAGAGTAGCCATCCTTCTGTGCCTGTAATGTAGCTGAGGCTCTCTTTAGGCATGTCAAGGTACTGCTGAGTATTGGTCACTGTGGAAACCAGTTGACCAACTGCAGCAAACACGGAGATACACAGTCGTTTAAAAACATATTCATTGAGATAAAACTGTATTTTCTTCCAAGCAAAGACACAAAAACAGTCAAAAATGCTGTTTTTTTTATTGTAATATTGTTCTAATGGTGATGCTGGTGTTCACTATAAGCACACATTCTACAACATGCTCAGACACCATAGAAAACATTTTCCCCTGCAGTCAATAGAATACTGCAAAGGTTTCAACTGTTTAACAGTTGGATGGATATGATGAAGGCTGTCTCTGCCTTGTGATGAAGGATGGAAAAAAATTACTCTGCAGAGCAGTTTCCCCTTGACATAACTGAAATCTTTGTAAGAAGGTCACTGGAGTTCCCAAAACACTGTACTAAAAATAACAGAGATGCCTTCTTAAATAACTTTTTTTTCTTTGTGGGTTGACAGTTTTACTGCCCCAACAACAGCAGGTAACATGATATTTTAAAGTATTCAAATGGCTACAGTTTAAAGATTGCAGAATGTACATAAGATTATAAAATCAAGGATCAAAACTTTCCTTTGGATACATTTTATATTTAGACTGGCTTAGGTTATCCTGCGCTCTCTGTAGTTATGCTGCTATAGGTTTAAGCTGCTGCAGGACATAATGACCACTTTCCCTCGCTTTGCTACATTCTCCTACTACTCTCCAATTTAGCATTATTTGCTGTTATTTCAGCTTTTAATGTTATGTTCTGTCTCTGTTTGTTCTCTTCCTAGAAGATACACCTGGCCTGGCTTTGTGTTTACCCGTGGCACCTTCCAGTAGAAGGGCATTGGCAGAGCTACTGCTGCCGACAACTGCCTGATCTTCAAAGATTCCAACTAAGAGGCGCTAAACTGCCAACAAAAGTAGTATGTGCAGTAAGTTGGTGTGTTGCACTTGATCTTCAAGGATTGTGTGCGCAATAAACAACAGGTGCAAAAGCGGTTTGGACCGCCATATTTAAATGAGGAAATTGCATGTGCTATTGGCTGTCACCATAGAGAGTGTCAGAGAGCAGAGCAGCCGTAAATGAAAGATGAACTTTGAAGCCATGGAGTTGGAGTTAATAATAAAAAATATAATAATAATAATAATAAGTTGCATTTATATAAATGTACAGTATGTATGTATGCAGTATGAAGATTTGATGTACTTTAGAAAAGTAGCTGCTTTCCTGTGGCCATGTCTTGAGCAAACCTTCCTCAGTGACACCTCTTCTACCTGGAGGAATGAACCAAAATTCCAGCAAACTACTGTCCCTTACAATCCTGCTCACCATAAACAGTGGAAAGGTAAACACAGATCCAGTGGCTAAAAGAAAAGATGATGTTATATTTATCTTGTTACATTTCCTACATGTAATAAACAGAAAATTTTGGAGTCATAATTAGAATGGGTGGCTGCATGGTGGTGAAGTTGGTAGCATTGCATTGCTGCTTTGCAGCAAGAAGGTCCTGGGTTCGACTCCCAGCCAGGGGTCTTTCTGCATGGAGTTTGCATGTTCTCCCCGTGCATGCGTGGGTTCTCACCGGGTACTCCGGCTTCCTCCCACAGTCCAAAGACATGACTGTTAGGTTAATTGGTCTCTCTAAATTGCCCTTAGGTGTGAATGAGTGTGTGCATGGCTGTATGTCTCTCTGTTGCCCTGCGTCATTTTGGTGCTAGTGCTGCTGCTGCTGCTGCTGCTGCTTTTACTTCTTCTTCTTCAGCTGTGTGTGCATGGTTGTATGTGTGTTGCACTGCGATGGACTGGCGACCTGTCCAGGGTGTACCCCGCATTTTGCCCATAGACTGCTGGAGATAGGCACCAGCTCCCCCATGACCCACTATGGAATAAGCGGTAGAAAATGACTGACTGACTGACTCCAAATCCAGGCCAACATTGGTTAATAAACTTGATTTCCACTGATGATTATATTGTATTTTTTGAGCAGTGTATATGCAGTATATATATATATACAGTACAGACCAAATGTTTGGACACACCTTCTCATTCAAAGAGTTGTCTTTATTTTGACTATGACTATGAATATTGTAGCTTCATACTGAAGGCATCAAAACTATGAATTAACACGTAGAATTATAAACTGAACAAAAAAGTGTGAAACAACTGAAAATATGTCTTATATTCTAGGTTCTTCAAAGTAGCCACCTTTTGCTTTGATTACTGCTACGCACACTCTTGGCATTCTGTTGATGAGCTTCAAGAGGTAGTCACCTGACATGGTTTTCCAACAGTCTTGAAGGAATTTCCAGAGATGCTTAGCACTTGTTGGCCCTTTTGCCTTCACTCTGCGGTCCAGCTCAACCCAAACCATCTCGATTGGGTTCAGGTCCAGTGACTGTGGAGGCCAGGTCATCTGCCGCAGCACCCTATCACTCTCCTTCTTGGTCAAATAGCCCTTACACAGCCTGGAGGTGTGTTTGGGGTCACTGTCCTGTTGAAAAATAAATGATGGTCCAACAAAACGCAAACCGGATAGAATAGCATGCCGCTGCAAGATGCTGTGGTAGCCATGCTGGTTCAGTATGCCTTCAATTTTGAATAAATCCCCAACAGTGTCACCAGCAAAGCACCCC